ACTCTGAATGTTAAGTCAATCTGGCTTGTCCCTTTGCTTGACAGAAGATCACAAAAGGAGATCATGTGATCCTGGGACAATGCGACCATCGTAAATATGAGTTCTTTGCCAAGTGTCTTAATTTTAATCACCATATGGATGCTGCAATTGTCATGAGAGTGAAAAATGGCCATCAGTTACCTTTTTCAGTCCTGTTGTAGCTCTTTGCTGCCCACCACAAGTTCTCACTCCCTACATTTCTACCACAGCAAAACAGAGCTCTGGCTTCTACTATTAAGCTGATGATCTGAAGACAGATATTGCAAAGAAATGTTAGGCTACAGTTCCTCTTTTTTCCTTCATAAGCTCTATCGCATACTGGAGATATTCACTGTGAATTCACACTAGTTGCATTCCAGTTTGTGAGGTTTTTTCAATACTCTTCTGTTTAGAAATGAAAATAATGAAATGTGATGCTGTAAACGAGGGATGGGAGAGGAGGAGGAAGGAGGAAGGAGGAAAAGAAGAGGAGGAGGAGAGGAGGAGAAGAATGAAGGAGGAGGAGAAGAGGAAGAAGAAGAGGAGGAGGGGAGGAGGAGGAGGAAAGGAGGAGGAGTTCAGAAGGCTGGAACACACCTGTTAGGTATTCTACCAATTTTCATTAAACTTAAGCAAACTTAAATATACCATTTTGGGATGCAAAAAATTAGTAAAGCAATTTTCAATAATTCGGCATGCCTAGATGAACAATGATTTTTCTTTGAGATATGGATGACTGTTTTGAATGTTCAGAAGATTATTATCCAAATAAAGAAAAGAAAGGATGTATACCAAAACTGGTTGTTGGTGTTTACAACTTTTGAAGAAACCTTAGGAATTGGTTTAACTCCAGCAGCTCTTTCTTTCTTCTTCTTGTCCTCTTGGGTACTGGGAACTTTTATTAAGCACAGGGATACTCCCATTGTCAAAGCCAACAATCGGTCACTCACGTACACCCTCCTTGTCTCCTTCTGCTCTGTTTTCTCTCCTCTTTCTTCTTCCTTAGCCAACCTGGCAAAGTGACCTGCCTTCTCCGACAAGAAATATTTGGCATCACCTTCTCAGTGGCCATTTCTAGTGTACTGGCCAAAACCATCACTGTGNGTGTTGATAAATATTCCTCAGAAAGATTGTTTGCTAAGCCTTCCTGACTGTGAATGAAAGGAATTCACAGTCATGTAAATAAAAGGATTTTTTTTGAGGACCAAGACTCTGCTTTTGGTTTTTAATGAAGCCTGGGTCAGAACAATCTCATATATTTAATTGCATTTTACAATAGACTTTAATGCTGGATTATAAACATTTGGTCTCTATCCATAAATCTGTTTTTATTGCAATCTGTTTTCAGATTTCACTAATAAGGAAGACATTGATGAAATGAAATTTAACGTATTTTTCCTTCTGCTACATCCTTTATTCAAGGTTATATTGACCGAAGACCACATAAAGAGTGATTTGAATTGGTTTGGAATTAGAAGTCTGACATTTTTTCAATAAAAGCAAAGTTGAAATCCAGTGCAAATCGTAGGGAAAAATGCATATCCCTCACTGATAGAGGGAGGAACAATAAAGATGAAAATATTTGAGGTTGGGATATTGTGAGTTTCCCCTACATAGAGATCATCGTGAAGTACTACAATATTTGGAGTATAACACGCACCGGAGTATAAGATGCATCAGAATATAAGACACTCCAAGATTTTAAAGAAATGTTTTTTAAAAAGATTTTGCACTCTGCAGGCCTCCCAAACCCTCTGCATGCCTCATTTGTTTTGAAAATATTGGCATGCAGAGAGTTTAGAGGCCTGCAAATTGCTCCTGGGGTCTGGGGAGGGGCAAAAACGAGCAAACATTCCCCATTTTTCATGAAAACAGGCCCATTTTTGTCAAAAACAGGGAATGCATAGCCTTTAGGAGGCTTATAGAGTGCTCCTGGGGGGTAGGGGGCAAAACTGAGCAACATCTTGCCCATTTTTCACTGATTTTTGCCCTCCCTGGCCCCCAGGAGCACTTTGCAGGCCTCCCAAACCCTCTGCACATCCATTTTTGGGGTTTTGAGAGGCCAAAAATGCTGTATTTGGTGTATAAGATACACCCAGATTTACTCCCTCTTTTTGGGGGAAAAAGTGTGCCTTAGGAAGGTAGGAATGGAGAGTGGGAAAGAAAAAGAGATGGACAGATAGAGAGGTGGAATGTTTATGGACCTTTCTTCCCTCAGTTAAGTGAATCACTGCAGTTGTTAATTTACTAACTCTGAAGATTAAGTCAATCTGGCTTGCCCATTTGCTTGACAGAAGATCACAAAAGGAGATCATGTGATCCTGGGACAATGCGACCATCGTAAATATGAGTCAGTTGCCAAGTGTCTTAATTTTAANGTGTTGATAAATATTCCTCAGAAAGATTGTTTGCTAAGCCTTCCTGACTGTGAATGAAAGGAATTCACAGTCATGTAAATAAAAGGATTTTTTTTTGAGGACCAAGACTCTCCTTTTTGGTTTTTAAGGAAGCCTGGGTCAGAACAATCTCATATATTTAACTGCATTTTACAATAGACTTTAATGCTGAATTATAACTATCCATAAATCTGTTTTTATTGCAACCTTTTTTCAGATTTCAATAATATGGAAAACATTGATGAAATGAAATTAATTGTACTTTTCCTTCTGCTACATCCTTTATTCAAGTTTGTCCTGACCAAAGACCATATAAAGAGTGATTTGAATTGGTTTGGAATTAGAAGTCTGACATTGTTTCAATAAAAACAAAAGTGAAATCTAGTGCAAATCATAGGGAAAAATGCATATCCCTCACTGATAGAGGGGGGAACAATAAAGGTGAAAATATCTGGGTTGGGGAAATTGTGAGTGTTCCCCTACATGAAGATCATTGACAAGTACCACAATATTTGGAGTATAACATGCATCAGAGTATAAGACATACCAAGATTTTGAATAGGTATTTTTTTAAAAAAAGATTTTGCACTCTGCAGGCCTTCCAGACCCTCTGCATTCCTCATTTCTTTGTGAAAGTGTTGGCATGCAGAGAGTTTAGAGGCCTGTAAAGTGCTCCTGGGGGCTGGGGGGGGGCAAAAACAAGCAAACATTGCCTTTTTTTCATGAAGACAGGCCCATTTTTGCCATAAACAGGGAATGCATAGCCTTTAGGAGGCTTGCAGAGTGCTCCTGGGGGCTGGGGGGACAAAATTGAGCAAAATCTGGCCCCTTTTTCACTAATTTTTGCTCTCCTCAGCTCCCAGGAGCACTTTGCAGGCCTCCCAAACCCTGTGCACGTCCATTTTTGTGGTTTTGAGAGGGGAAAAATGCTGTATTCAGTGTACAAGATACACCCATATTTTCTCCCCCTTTTGGGGGGTAAAAGGTGCGCCTTATACTCAAAAAAATACAGTATATAGATAGGAAGGTAAGAATGGAGAGAGAGAAAGAAAAAGAGATGGACAGATAGAGAGGCAGGGTGTTTATAGACCTTTCTTCAGAGAGTTAAGTGAATCACTGCAGTTGTTAAATTAGAAACTCTGAATGTTAAGTCAATCTGGCTTGCCCATTTGCTTGACAGAAGATCCCAAAAGGAGATCATGTGAATTTGGGACAATACAACCATCATAAATACGAGTGAGTTGCCAAGTGCCTTAATTTTAATCACCATATGGTTGACCACTCGCAATCACTGTTCCCTCTAAGGTGCGCGCCTGTGCGGCCGCGCACATGGCTGCAATACCCTGCGCAGTAGTTTCTAATTGCC